CCATAGCAGAGAGCTGGATCGGAAATGGAGCAGCTAGGACTCGAACTGGCACCCATATGGGATACCAATACTGCAAGTGGCAGCTTTACCCGCTATGCCACAGCGCCGGCCCCTGGATGTGGGTTCTTAACTGCCGTGCCAAACACTGGCCCTTGGACTTTAGTGGATTTTGTTTTTGTCTTATTTTTTAAGATTTATTTTATTTATTTGAAAGGCAGAGTTGCAGAGAGAGAGAGAGAGAGATCTTCCATCAGCTGATTCACTCCCCTAGCAGCTGGGGCTGGGCCAGGCTGAAGCCAGGAATCCATCTGCTGCTGCTTTCCCAGGTGCATTAGCAGGGAGCTAGATCAGAAGTGCATCGTGGATAGGACATGAACCAGCACCCATATGGGATGCTAGCATCATAGGCAGTGCTTAACCCACTACACCACAGTGCCGGCCCCTGGACTTCTCGCTCTCTTTTTTGTTGTTGTTGTTGTTATTTAAGATTGATTTATTTATTCGAAAGGCAGAGAGTTATGGAAAGGCAGAAGTAGACAGCAGCCTTCCTTCTGCTGGTTCAGTCCCCAGATGGCCATTGTGGAGCTGGGCCAATCCAGAGCCAAGAGCTTCTTCCAGATTTCCCACATCTTCTACTGCTTTCCCAGACCACAGCAGAAAGCTAGGTTGGAATTGGAGCAACCGGGACTTGACCAGCGGCCATATGCATCCGGGCACTGTAGGTGGTGGCTTTACTGGCTACACCACAGCTCTGGCCCCTGGACGTTTCTCCTGCACCTTAAGTTTATATGTCTCAACTTCCTATTTGCTGTCTACCAGGCAATCTAAAACTTAGCAGAGAACCTAACTACTGGGCTCCTTACTCCCCACCCCACCTGCCCCTGCTATTACCTTTTTTTTTTTTTTTTACATCTCAGTAAGAACAGTGCTATTTTGTAGTTTCTCAGGTCTTTGTTCCCACACTTTCCATTCATTAGAAAGCATTTTTGGAGTTGGTGCTGTGGCGCAGCAAGTTAAGCTGGCGTGTGCAGCACAGGCATCCCATATATGGGCGCCAGTTGAGTCCCAGCTGCTCCACTTTCAATCTAGCTCCCTGCTAATGCGCTTAGAGGATGGCCCAAGTGCATAGGCCTCTGCACCCATGTGGAAGACCCAGATGAAACTGGCTTCTGAGCTCAGCCTGGCCCAGCCCTGGTTGTTGAGGCCATCTGGGGAGTGAACCAGTGGACAGAAAATCTCTCTCCTCTTTCTCTGTGTCTCTCCTTCTTTTGCTATAACTCTGACTTTGACATAAAATAAATAAATCTTAAAAAAAGAAGGCATTTTTATTTATTTATTTTATTTGAAAGGCAGACAGAATTCTCCTGTCTGCAGATTCACTCCCCAAATGCCCACAACAGCAGAGCTGGGCAAGGCCAAAGCCAGAACCTGGGAATTCAGCTTGAGTCTCCCAGTTGGGTGGCAGGGACCCAACTACTTGAGCCATCATCTGCTGCCTCCCATAGTGTGTGCATTAGTAGCAAGTTGGAATTGGAAGCTTGAACCTAGGCACTCTAGTAAGGAGTAACTTGCTTTTATTGCTGTACCACCATCACCTAGAATAGTGCCTCAATAAATATTTATTTATTCTTCAGAGTTATTAATGATATTCTTAAGAAGCCTTTATTTATCTTTTTTTTTCCATTTTATTTGAAAGGCAGAGAGACAGAGAAACAGAGATAGAGGTCTTCCCCTCACTGGTTCCCTCCGCAAATGCTTTCAGCAGCAGGGCTGGGCCAGGCTGAAGTCAGGAGCCTGGAACTCCTTCTGGATCTCCTGCGTGGTGGCAGGGAACCAAGTGCTTGATCTGTCACTCGATGCCTCCCAGGTTGTGCATCAGCAGGAAGCTGGACCGAAAGTGGAGTAACTGGGACTTGAGCAGGTGCCCTGGTATGGTATGTGGACCACCCTCGTGGGGACTGGACCACTTTGCCACATGCCTACCCCTGTAAATAGTCATTGAGTGAGTGAGTAGGCCAGGATGCTTTATGTTTTAGAACATAAAGGGTGATGTGGTAGTCACCTCAGATTGATTGAAGTACTCTTGAGTGGAAGGAATTGCTTTGTTTAATGTTGTGTATGACCATGAATTAGTTTGTACAGGTTTGGATTTGAAACCATTTAGTTATTTTTCCCCCAGAAACCTTTTATTGAAGGAATACAAGCTTCATGCACTTCATAGATACAGCTTTAGGAAAATAATGATTCTTCTCATGTACCCGCCTCCCACCTTTCTTCTTCCTCCCTCTCCTATTCTCATTTTTATTTTTAACTAAAATTTCTTTTTTTTTTTTTTAAGATTTTATTTATTTATTTGAGAGGTAGAGTTATAGATAGAGAGAGAGTCAAAGAGAAAGGTCTGGCCAGCGCCGCGGCTCACTAGGCTAATCCTCCGCCTGCGGCGCCGGCTCCCTGGGTTCTAGTCCCAGTTGGGGCACTGGATTCTGTCTTGGTCGCTCCTCTTCCAGTCCAGCTCTCTGCTGTGGCCTGGGAAGGCAGTGGAGAATGGCCCAAGTGCTGGGCCCTGCACCCACATGGGAGACCAGGAGGAAGCACCTGGCTCCTGGCTTTGGATCGGTGCAGCATTCAGGCCGTAGTGGCCATTTAAGGGGTGAACCAACGAAGGAAGACCTTTCTCTCTGTCTCTCTCTCTCACTGTCTAATTCAGCTTGTCAAAAAAAGGGGGGGGGGGGTTCCATCCGCTGGTTCACTCTCCAAATGGCCGCAACGGCCAGAGCTGGGCTAATCCGAAACCAGGAGCCAGGAGCTTCTTCCAGGCCTCCCCGCTGGGTGCAGGGGCCTAAGTGCTTGGGCCATCTGCTGCTGCTTTCGCAGGCCATAGCAGAGAACTGGATCGAAAGAGTAGCAGCCGGGACTCAAACCGGTGCCCATGTGGGATGCCAGCACCGCAGGTGGAGGCTTAACCTACTGCACCACAGCGCCACAGCGCCAGCTCCTTAAGATCTATTTTCTATTAACTTTATACACATATGATTAACTCTATACTAAATAGAGTTCAACAGATTGTAGAAACCATTTAGTTATAAAGGGTAGAGTGCAGAGGCTTTTAGGATATTCAGAGTCATGCATCCAGCCATCATTACAGTCAATTTTAGAATGTTGTCGTCATTTCAAAAAAGAACACTCATTTCTAAAAGAAACCCCATGCCAATTACCCATCACCCTCCCAACTCCCTGTCCTACACCAACCCTGGGCAGTCTACTTTGTCTTTATGAACTCATCTATTCTGGACAGTTTGAATACAGAAAATAATACAAATATGCAGTCTTTTACATCTAGCTTCTTAGACATGGCATCATGTTTTCAAGATTGATCTGTGGGGGTGGCCCTGTGGCACAGTGTGTTAAACCTCTGCCTGTCACATTGACATCCCATGTGGATGCCTGTTTGAGTCCCAGCTGTGCCTCCGATCCAGCTCCCTGCTAATGCACCTGGGAAAGCAGTGGAAGATGACCCAAATGCTTGGGCCCCTGCACCAACGTGGGAGACCTGGATGGAGTTCCAGGCTCCTGGCTTCAGCCTGGCCCAATCTGGCCATTGCAATCAGTTGGGGATTGAACCAGTGGGTAGAAGAGTTCTCTCTCTGTCTTTCCCTCTCTGTAACTCTTTCAAATAGACAAATCTTTTTAAAAAATAATTAATCTAGGTTGTAGCATGCGTATACATATGCCATATGTATGTATTATATTTCTTCTTATTGCTGAATGACCTGCTGTATGGCTGTACCGCATTTTATTTATCTGTCCATTAGTTGGTCAACATTTGGATTGTTCCCACCATTGTTGTTTTACTTTTTAAAATTTTTGTTAAAGAATTATTTTATTTTTTTGAGACAGAGTTGCAGAGAGAGGTAGAACCAGAGAGGTCTTCCATTCTGCTGGTTCATTCCTCAAATGACCACAGTGGCCTGGGCTGAGCTGATCTGAAGCCAGGAGCCAAGAGGTTCTTCCAGGTCTCCCACATGGGTGCAGGGGCACAAGGACTTGGGCCATCTTCCACTGCTTTCCCAGGCCATAGCAGGGAGCTGGATCAGAAGAAGAGCAGTGGGACTCAAACTGGTGCCCATATGGGATGCCAGCACTGCAGGCTGGGGCTTTAAGTTGCTGTACCACTGCACCGGGCCCTGTTGTTTTTCTAAGATTTATTTTATTTAATTGTTTGGAAAGCAGAGATTCAAAGATAGAAAGGTCTTTCATCTACTGTGTCACTCCTCAAATGGCCAAAACAGCCAGAGCTGAGCCAGGCAGAAGCCAGAAACTCCATCTTGGTCCCTACTTGGGCCATCAGTCACTGCTCTCTCAGGCATGTTAGCAGGGGCTGGATTGGAAGCAGTGTAGCCAGGACTTGAACTGGCACTCCAGTATGGGTTGCTGATGTTCCAAGTGCTGGCTTAACCTGCTGCACCATCACATTGGCCCCCGTTTCCATTTTATGGCTATTACGAATAGTGCAACATTTACTTAGAAGCTTCTGTGTGACCATAACAAATTTTTATTTGTCTTGGGTATATATTTAAGAATGGAATTGCTGGCTGCATTTAATGTTTTGAGTTCTAAAGTAACTATACCATATACATTTCTACCAGCAGGTGTTGGCTTGTTCCCAGTAGAGGCACATGGTATCTGTCCTTGATAAAAATGGTGTTTTGTTTATTTTTACCCTTAAAAGGATGCGTTGTGAGGAGCCGTTTGTTCTTCCGGTCTAGTTCACTTGTGACCAGTTGCCCATGTTAGGAAGAGGCAGATTGAACCAGGAGAGCTGTCGGCGCCTGGGCTCACTGTGTTCTCTTTGTGAAAGCTCTTGCAGAAGTGGAATCTGCCTTGCTGGTGTAGGACTCAGAGAGAAGCTGTCGCCCTGAGAAGTCAGCGCGCTCCTGTAACCTAGGCCGTCTTTCAGTGTTGGAATATGTGCTTCTTCCATCCCTCTCTCTTGCCTTCAGATGGATGACGATGAGGACGATGATGACGTGGGAGACCATGATGATGATCACCCTGGGATGGAGGTGGTACTCCATGAGGACAAGAAGTACTACCCAACAGCGGAGGAGGTGTACGGTCCGGAGGTGGAGACCATAGTTCAGGAGGAAGACACCCAGCCTCTCACAGGTCAGTCAGGAGGCACTGAGTTGTGAAATTAAAACTAAAAAACTCCATTTCAGGGACTGGCATTGTGGTATAGCAGTAAAGCTGCTGCCATCCCATTTGGGCACCAGTTCTAGTCCCAGCTGTTCCACTTTCAATCCAGCCCCCTGCTACTGCGCCTGGAACACCAGCATAAAATGGCCCAAGTCTTTGAACCCCCACCCCCATGTGGGAGTCCTGGATGAAACTCCTGGCTCCTGGCTTTGGCCTGATCCAGCCCTGGCTCATTGCAGCCATTTACGGAGTGAACAAGGTGGATGGAAGATCTCGAGGTCTCTCCCTCTGTGTAACTTGGACTTTCAAATAAATAAATCTTTTTAAAAAAAAAAAGGAGAGAAAAGAAAACTTCATTTCATAGCCATCAGCAAATCTTTTTTTTCTTTTTTTTTTTTTTAAAGATATATTTTACTTATTTGAATTGTCGCTCCCCCTCTTCGTGGAGGAACGACACAGGACCCTGCGCTGTTCTTTCTGTCTGCTCGGCCCTCCCCGGGTTTGCTGCTGGTTTTTCCCGGGTTGGCTACTATCCCTTCCACCTCCGTGGAAGGGCAGTTCCCCCTGGCCACATTCCCCACTTCCGCAGGGGAGCGGCACACCGCCGGCCGGCTTTCTCGGGGGCTGCACGGGTTCCCTTAGATGTTCCCCATAGATGTTCCTGGTGCATGCCGTCTCTCTCCTCCTTTATAGTCCTCCTCCGCCAATCCCAACTCGGCTGCCCACACGCCGAGTACGCTGCTCTCCAATCAGGAGCAAGTCCTACAGTTAATTGGTTGAACTGGAGGCAGCTGTGCGGAAGCTGTTTACTTCTCTCCCAACGCCACATTGTGGGAGAGCAAATACACAGAATAAGTCTTAATTCCAGTAACTCAGTCTAGTCCGGTTTGCTCCCCACATGAATGACAGTTACAGAGAGAGGTAGAGACAAAGAAAGAAAGGTCTTCCATCCACTGGTTCACTACCCGAATGGCCACAACAGCCAGAGCTGAGCCAACCCAAAGCTAGGAGCCAGGAGTTTTTCCAGGTCTCCGACTGGGTGGCAGGGGCCCAAGAACTTGGGCCATCCTCCGCTGCTTTCCCAGACGCATTAGCTGGGAACCAGACCGGAAGTAGAATAGCCAGGACTTGAACAGGTGCCCATATGGAATGCCAGTGCTGCAGGCCAGGGCTTTAACCCCCTGTACCACAGCACTGGTCCCCCTTCAGCAAATCTTGAAAGTTTAGTGAATGACCAGTTTTTGTTTTGTTTTTAATATTTATTTATTTATTTGAAAGGCAGAGTTACAGAGAGAGAGGGAGAGACAGAGATCTTCATCTGCTGTTTCACTCCCCAGATGGCTGCAGCCAAGGCCAAGCCAGTCTGAAGCCAGGAGCCCAGGGCTTTTTCCATTTCTCCCATGTGGTTTCAGGGGCCCAAGTGCTTGGGCAGTCCTCCACTGCTTTCCCAGACACATAAGCAGGGAGCTGCATCAGAAGTGGAACAGCTGGGTCTCAACCAACACCCATATGGGATGCTGGTGTTCCAGGCAGGGTTTTTGTTTTTTGTTTTTTTGTTTGTTTTTTTTTGTTTTTTTGACAGGCAAAGCTAGACACACAGAGAGAGACAGAGAAAAAGGTCTTCCTTTTCCGTTGGTTCACCCCCCAAAATGGCTGCTGCGGCTGGCGCACTGCGCCAATCCGAAGCCAGGAGCCAGGTGCTTCTTCCTGGTCTCCCATGCGGGTGCAGGGCCCAAGCACCTGGGCCATCCTTCAGGCAGTGGTTTAACCAGCTACACCACAATGCCAGCCCCTGTTGTTTCTTTATCTAGTACTTGGGTACTTGAAGACCATTATTAGGTTGTCTCTGGGCTAATATTTTTTTCCATCCTAATAATTTCAACCCCTTTAACCAATCCACATAGTCTTATTGTACACCTAATAGTTTTCATTGGTCTTCCTGCAAGTTAAAAGAATTTTTAAGTTGATTTGAAAGGTAGAGACACAGAGAGAGTGTGCTCTTATCTGCTGGTTTACTCCTCAAATGCCCACAACAGCCAGGGCTGGACCAGCTGATGTCAGGAGCCAGGAACCCCATCTAGGTCTTCCACATGGATGTCAGGGACCAAATAGTTGAACCATCATCTGCTGCCTCCCAGGGTGTCCATTAGCAGGAAGCTGAAATCAGGAGTAAAGCCAAGACTCACCTCAGCACTCCAGTGTGAGCGCAGGCATGGAAAGTGGCTTCTTAACCACTGGACCCTGTGCCTGCCCCAGGAGAGGTTTTGAGCTGGTACTGACCTCAGCCTATATCCATTCTCTTCCTCTCACCCTCGCACAAAATGAAGTTCGGGCTCTAGTTCAGAAGCCTTCACTGTATCATGCCAGGCGACATTCCCAGGATTTTGTCAACATAAAGTGATCCTTGGGAATAGAGTAAATGGATATGTGTCGTGCATTCTAAAAGCTCAGTCTAATGGAATAAAGCTCTGTGTTTTTGTTCTCTGTCTACCTGCACATCACTGCTTTCTGGTTTTTTTTTTTTCCCTAGAACCCATCATTAAGCCAGTGAAGACCAAGAAATTCACTCTGATGGAGCAGACATTACCTGTCACGGTGTATGAAATGGAGTAAGTTTTAAGGTTTTAGTTCTCTGCAGGAATTGTGTGAATTCATCTTTTCTTGGAGGCAGGAAGTGGTATGAGGCTGAATAGCCAGTGAATTGGCAGCAAAAATCCCTCCCTCTAATTGGCCAAAATTTTCCTTCAGCTTATATGGCTGCTGGGATAGTTAGCCTCAATCTTGACTTTTCTCTTGGCTTTCATCCAGATCTCAGCTGTTTCCCCTTCCTCCAAGCCTTAGTTTGGTGTTGGGAGCCAGCCTTTGAGAGAACTGCATATTATAATTAGCTTTAGGACGACCAAAGCCTGTTTTTGACTCTAGGACTGCTGAGTATTTTAGGAACATGGCAACTCTTTATTTTGAAAGGGTGCCACAAACAGCCAGCTGTGTAGACCATCGAGCTTTTCACATGCAAACTGTTCTTGGAAACATCCTCACTGATGCAAAGCACATGTAATCCCCTCTCATGTGGAAGAGCTTATGACTCAGTAGCTATTGAAACTGCTTGGTTTGTTTTGTTTTTAGGCTTCTTGTTGTTGTTGTTATTTTTAAATTATTTGAGACAGAGTGTGTATGTGTTCCCTTCTGCTGTTTCACTGGACAGGGCAAAACCAGGACCGTGGGAACTCAACCCAGATGCTTGAGTCATGACCACTGCCTCTCAGAGCTGCAGTGGCAGGAAGCTGGAATCAGGAGTTGGCTGTGGAACTCAAACCCAGGCATCTCTCCAGGGATGTGGGCATCTTAACTGCTAGGCTAAATGTACCCCTCTTGGGATTTTTTATTTTATTTATTTTTTAATATTTAAAAATTTCCCGTACTTTTTTTTAAAGATTTGTTTATTTATTTATTTGAAGGATAGAGTTACAGAGAGGCGGAGATCTTCTGTCTGCTCATTCACTCCCCAAATGGCCGCAATGGCAGGAGTTGGGCTGATCCGAAGCCAGGAGCTTCTTCTGGGTCTCCCATGCAGGTGCAGGGGCCCAGGCACTTGGACCATCTTCTGCTGCTTTCCCAGGCCATAGCAGAGAGCTCTATCGCAAGTGGAGCAGCTGGGTCTTGAACCAGCATCCATTTGGGATGCTGGCACCACAGGTGGTAGCTTCACCCACTAAGCCACAGCACCAGCCCTTCTTGTTTTTAAAACAGGTTGACCTCTTATATGTCCAAAAGAAATGGGATTGTTTCTAAAAGAGTCAGCTCACCTGCCATTATGTAGATTTTTTTTCCTTTTTTATTTGTTGTTTCTTTATTGGAAAGGGAAGCGGTGGGGCCGGTGCGGCGCTCACTAGGCTAATCCTCCGCCTAGCGGCGCCGGCACACCGGAATCCACCACATGTTGGGGCGCTGGATTCTGTCCCGTTTGCCCCTCTTCCAGGCCAGCTCTCTGCTGTGGCCAGGGAGTGCAGTGGAGGATGGCCCAGGTGCTTGGGCCCTGCACCCCATGGGAGACCAGGAAAAGCACCTGGCTCCTAGCTCCTGCCATCGGATCAGCGCGGTGCGCCGGCCGCGGTGGCCATTGGAGGGTGAACCAACGGCAAAGGAAGACCTTTCTCTCTGTCTCTCTCTCTCACTGTCCACTCTGCCTGTCAAAAAAAAAAGGCAGCGTTACAGAGAGAGACAGAGAAAGAGATCTTCCATCCACTGGTTCACTCCCCAAATGGCCGTAATAACTGGGGCTGGGCCAGGCTGAAGCCAGGAGCTTCATCTGGGTCTCCCATGTGGGTACAGGGGCCCAAAGACTTGTGTTATCTTCCACTGATTTCCCAGGTGCGTTAGTAGAGAGTGGAATCCAAAGTGGAGCAGCCAGGAATTGAACAGGTGCCCCTATGGGATGGCAGCATCGCAGGCAGTAGCTTAACCCGTTATGCCACAACACCAGCCCCAAATTCAGACATTTTTTAAACAACTTTGCAGTAGTCTTCCAGACTTGCTTTATATTTTTTTGCATTCTCAATGGTGGTGGTTTGTGTTTTTTTTGTTGTTGTTTTTTTGTTTTTTGTTTTTTATCTCCAGGGAACAGGGATATAGCATAGTGCTTAAGAGCAGATTGGGAGGCCAGCGCTGTGGTTTAGTAGGTTAAGCCTCTGCCAGTGGTGCTGGCATCCTATTTGGGTGCCAGTTTGAGTCCTGGCTGCTCCACTTCCAATCCAGCTCCCTGCTAATGCACGTGGGAAAACTGTGGAAAATGGCCCAAGTGCTTCAGCCCCCACCCCCAGGTGGGAGACCCAGAGGAGGCTCTGGCCATTGTGACCATTTGGGGAGTGATCCAGTGGATGGAAGACTTTTTTTTTTTTTTTTAAAAACGATGTATTTATTTACTTGAGAGCCAGAGAGAGAGAGCGGTCTTCGATTTACTGATTCACTCCCCAGATGGCCGCAACGGCCAGAGCTGTGCCGATCTGAAGCCAGGAGCCAGGAACTTCTGGGTCTCCCACGTGGATGTAGGGGCCCAAGGATTTCGGCCATTTTCTTTCTTTCTTTCTTTCTTTTTTTAAAGAATTATTTTATTTTATTTGAAAGTCAGAGTTGGGCTGCAGCGGCCGGAGTTGCACTGATCTAGAGCTGTGCCAATCTGAAGCCAAGCGCCAGGAGTTTCCTCCAGGTCTCCCACATGGGTGCAAGGGCCCAAGGACTTGGGCCATCTTCCACTGCTTTCCCAGGCCATAGCAGAGAGCTGGATCAGAAGAAGAGCAGCCAGGACTTGAACCGGCGCCCACATGGGATGCCAGTGCTTCAGGCCAGGGCGTTAACCTGCTGCGCCACAGCGCCGGCCCCAAGATTTTTATTTATTTGAGAGGTAGAGTTACAGACAGTGAGAGGGAGAGACATAGAGAAAGGTCTTCTATCCACTGGTTCACTCCCCAAATGGCCACAACGGTTGGAGCTGTGCTGATCTGAAGCCAGGAGCTTCTTCCAGGTCTCCCATGTGGGAGCAGGGGCCCAGGGACTTGGGCCATCTTCTACTGCTTTCCCAGGTCACCGCAGAGAGCTTGATGGGAAGAGGAGCAGCCAGGACTCGAACCGGCCCCTGGGTCATTTTCTTTTTCTTTTTCTTTTTCTTTTTTTTTTTTAAGATTTTTATTTATTTGGGAGGTAGAGTTACAGACAGTGAGAGGGAGAGACAGAGAGAAAGATCTTCTGTCAACTGGTTCACTCCCCAAATGGACCCAATGGTTGGAGCTGCGCCGATCCAAAGCCAGGAGCCAGGAGCCTCTTCTGGGTCAGGGGCCCAAGATCTTGGTCCATCTTTCCCAGGCCATAGCAGAGAACTGGATCGGAAGTAGAGCAGCCAGGTCTTGAACCAGCTAATAGCTAATGTAATACTTGAAGGTAAAAGAAAAAAGAATTAAAAAAAAAAAAAAAAAGTAGATTGGGATGTTTGTTGTCTGGATTCAAGACCCGACTCTGCTTTTGATCTAGCTTCCTGATAATGTGTACCCCAGGAGGCAGCAAGTGATGGCTCAGGTTAGTTGGATCCTACCACCCACATGGAGAACTGGATTGTTTTCCTGATGGTGGCTTCAGCCTGGCCTAGCCATGGCTGTTGTGGGTATTTAGGGAATGAACCAGCAAATGAAACGGTCTCATTTTTCTGTCTTTGTCTGTGTCTCTGTTTCTCCCTCATGTAACTCTGCCATTAAAATAAATAAAACTAACTAAATAAAGCTTAAAGAGGACTCTAGTCGTTGAGAGCGGTCTCAGAGTTTTGAAGAGCCAGGCTTGTTGAAAGGCTGCTTGCTGTAAGTAACATGGCTGATAAGCATGAAAGACAGGGCTGGTTCTGATCAGGACGGGAGTCCTCTGACCTCAGCAGCATCATGACATGGGGTTTTCTGAATGCCTTGCTGACTGGCTCCACAGCAATTTCGAGAGAAGCCCCCAAGGTGACTGCAAGCCCCTGTGGCATCAATGGAATCTAAGTATAGCTGAAAATTGTTAAAGGGACAGTGCTCATGTACTTACGCAGGCAGTAGTTCAGGTACTTGATTTTGTTTTTCTTCTTTAATAGTTTCATTATTTTACTGTTGAAGTCCATGTCATTTCATTCACAGGCTGTGTTTTCTTATGGGTAAGTCTATTCCATTTCCAAAGCCAGAACTGTGTAGATGCCGACATTCACATCTGCCTCCAAGGAGTCTCCCCTTGGTCTGAAAGTTGTTCCTGGCCCAAAATAACCGAAACATCTTTGCACTGCTCCCCGTTTGAAAACTTTCTGCCAAAACCCCTTTTCTCTTTTCCTTTCTCCTTTCAGTTTCCTGGCAGATCTGATGGATAATTCGGAGCTCATCAGAAATGTGACCCTTTGTGGCCATCTCCACCATGGCAAGGTGAGAGAACTCAGGGCTCTTGAACAAAGATCTCTGTTTCCGCTCATGTTTGAGCCCTTAGAGACACTGGTGGTTTGCGGTCAGAAGGCTAGACCTGACTCCAGGGGGTGCTGCATGCTGGCCATGAACCTGTGCTGTGAGAATCTGCTGTTCCTGAGCAGTGGGCAGAGCCTGCTCCTAAGCCACTGCACGCCCGAGCCTTGCGTCTGCTTCTGGACGTAAAAGGGAAGTTGAGCCCAACTCTGATTTATAAGATTTTCATTTCCTGGGGGATGTCTGTCCAAGAGAAAGTCCATATTCATTTAAAAATGATCCTGTGGCTTCTGTGTAAATCCTTTGCTGTCCCATACTCCTCTTTGCTATCCTCTCCCTCTCCTTATCCCTAAGTTAGGTGGTATGTTGTGAGCCGGGGGAAGGGCACAGTAGACTTGCCGCTGTGTGTCAGGTCTTAACCATCTCTTCCCTTTCAGACGTGTTTTGTAGATTGTTTGATAGAGCAGACACACCCGGAAATCAGAAAGCGCTATGACCAAGATGTAAGTAGCACTTCTGTTGAGGGTTTAAGGTTCAGAGTCTCTGTGGATGTCTGCTTCCCTTTCCTTCACCCTTCCCACCCTCTTTATAAATAATGACACCTACTGAGTTCTGCTTTATAATTGTAATCTCTATTAATAGGCTGTAAGGAAATAATTTCAATTTTCTCAAGAGCACAGAAACATTAGCCTGGAGTATTTTTAGATGATCTGTTCTGCACCAGGGATCCCTCCTCTGTTATGATATATCCTGACTTCTATTCTCTAGTCCTTCCTGTCATGGTATTAATAGCCTGCTCTATAAATATAGAATTGGACCTTGTTGTTTTCATGGTAAATTTAAATGCCTGTGAATGAGGCCAGGTGTGGCTGCAAGTCTCAATGCAATAAAGGTTCAATCACTGCCAGACTGGCTGTTTTGACAAGCGGGGTTCCTTGAAGGCTGGCACGTGTCTCCCTTTGCAGTGCATTTGATATGATTTAATCTCCAGCCATGCCTGGTCTTCTGTGACCACCACCCCAAAAACAGCTGCACACATCCAGCTGGGAGGGCGCCGGTCTCATTGTCTGCAGTCACCATGGGGACACTGCTGTCTTCAATCTCTTCTCCTGAGGCAGAAGCCCTGGGGCAGGAAAGGGCGGAGGGGGAGTGACTGATGGTCTGTATGTGGGAGAGGAGTCTGAATTCAGGAGGTAACGGCAGTTTAATTTTTTTCAGCTGTGCTACACTGACATCCTCTTCACTGAGCAAGAGGTAAGCGTGTCCTGGGAAATCACATTGTTGCCCACACCATGCTCACCAGCTGTAGTTTTGTAGGGAATGCAGGGATTGGAGTGCTTTGGTCCATGCTGCATCCCTCTGTCACGCCTGCCTCAGCACCTCTTACCTGCCTGCTCTGCCAGTCATCCTAGGTTTGTAACTCAAAAGAGCTGGGTAGGTGAGCTCTAGAGTTAGGAGAGGTACCCTCGTGTTCTTAGCTGGATTTAATTTTCCTTAGTAGGGTGAATACTAAGAGGTGATATTTGGATTTATCCTGTAAGTTATAAAGGAGCTCCATAAAATTTTTAAAATGACATCTTTATGGCCAGCACCGTGGTTCACTAGGCTAATCCTCCACCTGTAGCACTGGCACTCCAGGTTCTAGTCCCGGTCGGGGCGCTGGTTCTGTCCCAGTTGCTCCTCTTCCAGTCCAGCTCTCTGCTGTGGCCCGGGAAGGCAGTGGAGGATGGCCCAAGTCCTTGGGCCCTGCACCCGCATGGGAGACCAGGAGGAAGCACCTGGCTCCTGGCTTCGGATCGGCACAGCACGCTGGCTGGGGTAGCCATTTGGGGGGTGAACCAATGGAAGGAAGACCTTTCTCCTTTCTCTCTCTCTCTCTCTCTCACTGTCTAACTCTGCCTGTCCAAAAAAAAAAAAAAAAAAGACATCTTTAGGGCCGGCGCTGTGGCATAGCTGGTTAAGCCAGTGCTTACAATGGTGGCATCCCATATGAGTGTCAGTTCAAGTCCCATCTTCTCCACTTCCAGTCTGGCTCCCTGCTAATGTACCTGGGAAGGCAGCAGAAGATGGCCCAAGTACTTGAGCCCTTGCTACTCATGTGGGAGGCTGGACAAAGTTCTAGATTCCTGGCTTTGGCCTGGCTCAGCCCCAGTCATTGCAACCAGTCGGGGAATGAACCAGTGGAAAGATGGAAGATCTCTTACCTCCTTTTGTCTTTCTGTCTCTCTGTATCACTGTGCCTTTGAAATAAAAATCTTAAATCTATAGGATGATCCATCCATATGATAATCTCTACGAATCTCTCAAGAATCTTCTCAAGAATGGATTCGTGTGCCTTTGAGCTTCTCTTGGTCTTTCCATCTGGATCTTTACCCCTCCTCTCTGGTCCTTTTATTTTTCTCTTCTTTTTTTTCTGCCTCCTTTTCCTAAGTGACAGCATGGAAGGCTCAGGTACATACATGTTGGTAACCAAAGTCCTGGCATGTAATAAGCAGTCAACAAATGCTGGCTGTTGCTGGTTTTTTAAATGTATTTGTTTTCTGGGTTTTAAATACTTATTTTGTATTTACTTTTACTTATTTATTATTTTTTATTTATTTATTTTAGTTTGAAAGATGGAATGACAAAGACAGAGGGAAAGACTAGAGAGGAAGAAATCTTTCATCTGTTGGTTCACTCTACAAATGGCCGCAATGGTCAGGGGTGGGCCAGGCCGAAGCCAGGAGCCAAGAACTCACGTGGGTACAGGGGTCCTGAGTATTTGGACCATCTTCCGCTGACGTCCTAGGTGCATTAGCAGGGAGCTGTGATTGGAAGTGGAGTAGCCGGAATTCCAACCAGTGCTCCAATACGAGATTTGGTATCACAGGTGGCAGCTTGACCCACTGTGTCACCATGCCGGCCCATATATATATATATTTTTTAATATTTATTAATTTATTTGAAAAAGTTACAGAGAAGAAGAAGCAGAGGCAGAGGGATAGAGAATTTTCCATCCCTGGTTCACTACCCAAATGGCCACAATGGTCAGTGCTGGGCCAGGCCAAAGCCAGGAGCCAGGAGCTTCACCCGGGTCTCCCAGTTGGGCCATCTTCTGCTGCTTTCTCAGGTGTATTAGCAGGGAGCTGGATTGGAAGTAGAACAGCCAGGACTCAAGCCAGTGCCCATATGGGATGCCAGCATTGTGTATTGTGGCTTTACCCACTATATCACGGTGCTGGCCCCATAATATTTGTTTTTTAAAAGGCTTATTTTTCATTTGAAAAGCAGAGTGACAAAGCGAGAAACAGAAAGTGGTAGATATTGTCTATCGACTGGTTCATTCCCCAGATGACTGCAACAGTCAGGGCGAGGCCAGGACAAAGCCAGGAGCCAGGAAGTCCATCTGGGTCTCCCACATGGGAGGCAGCATCCCAGGTACTTGGACCACCTTCTGCTCCTTATTGCAGGTGTGCTAGCAGGAAACTGGATCAGAAGCAGAGTAGCCAGGGCTTCAACTGGCACTTCAGATTACTTCTCTTCTTCAAAAACTATCAATTGTTTCTTTTTGCTTTTGAGATGGTCAGCTGTTACTTTTGCCTCCAGTTTATGAGGGGGATAAGATTCCAGGACACTGGATTCTTAAGGTTTAAGACTGCTTTGCTTGCTTGTTCGTTTTTATTACTTTGTATTTGTACCAAACTCCCTGCCCCCGATGCCACTGCCACACACACACACACACACACACACACACACAGTGTTTTTTCCACTAAGATATTTCATCTTAAAGGTCACTCAGGTTAGAAGCCAAGGTAGAAAGTCATGCTCACTACCAGGAGAAATGTCAGTATGATTCACAGCAGGTGGCCACCCCTAAGAGCAGAATGAAGACATCTGAGGGCTTTCTGTTTGCGACTTTCAGAGAGGCGTTGGCATTAAAAGCACTCCTGTGACGGTGGTCTTGCCAGATACCAAAGGCAAATCTTACCTCTTCAACATCATGGACACCCCAGGTAGGACATTGCTGTGGGAACCTTGTCCTGTGTAGTTTTTTGTTCACACCAGAGCATAATGGAGTAGTATGCCTGTTTTTACATTCTCTTCACCTCCCTAGAGATAATTTTCATTTTTAACTATCTTCTTTGCTTCTGACCAGTTAATTAGCAAGCACCGTGCTGCAGGCCTTCTGTTTCCCTCCTCTCTTCACTCTCCTCTAGACTATGCAAATTTGAGGGAACCTGTTCTGTTTATTCATTTCGACTGTGGCAGGCCTGGTACTGGCTGCTGGCGAGGTAAAGGTGCAGCAGCCCTGGCCCCCGTCTGAGGAGGCTCCACACACAGGCCCATGGGAGCAGCACCTGCGGCTCTTTGTGTTGGTTTCTTTATTTGCTCTCATACATAGTAGGATTCATTTATTTGAAAAGCAGAGTTACAGAGGAAGAGACAGACCTCTTTTTATTCTTATTACTGTTTTTTAAAGATTAATTTATTTGAAAAGCAGAGTTGCAGAGAAAGAGATTGTCCATCTGCTGTTTCATTCCCCAAAGGAGCACAACAGCTGGAGCTGGGCCAATACGACACCAGGAGCTTCTTCCAGGTCTCCCACGTGGATGCAGGGTCCCAAGGACTTGGGTCATCTGCTTTCCCAGGCACATCATCAGGGAGCTGGATTGGAGGTGGAGCAGCCAGGACCCCAACTGGCGCCCTATGGGATGCTGGAATTGCAGGCGGAGGTTTAGCTTACTGTGCCACAGTACTGCCCACCCACCCCCACCCCCACCTTTTTTTTTCTTGACTCTCTTTATTGAAAGGACCAATTTGGAACAGAGTGTTTACAAACTGAAAAATTGGGGGGCCGATGCTGACTTAGTGGGTAAAGCCGCCGCGTGCAGTGCTGGCATCCCGTATGGGTGTCGGTTCGAGTCCTGGCTGCTCCACTTCCCATCCAGCTCTCTGCTTTGGCCTGGGAAAGCAGTAGAGGATGGCCCAAGTCCTTGGGCCTCTGCACCCACGTGGGAGATCCAGAAGATCCTCACTCCCTGGCTTCAGATTGGCACAGCTCCAGCCATTGCAACCATTTGGGGAGTGAATCAGCAAATGGAAGACTTCTCTTTCTGTCTGCCTTTGCCTGTCTGTAAATCTACCTTTTAAATAAATAAATAAATGTATCTTCTTCTTCTTCTTCTTCTTTTTTTTTTTTACAGGCAGAGTTAGACAGTGAGAGAGAGAGAGAACAGTCTTCCTTCTGTTGCCCCCCCCCCCAAATGGCCGCTATGGCCGGTGCACCACACTGATCCAAAGCCAGGAGGCAGGTGCTTCCTCCTGGTCTCCCATGCAAAAATAAACTGAAAAATTGGGGCATGTGCTGTGGCGTGGTAGGCGGAGCCACCATCTGCAGTGCCAGCATCCCGTGTGGGCGCCGGTTTGAGTCTTGGCTGCTCCACTTCTGATCCAGCTCTCTGCTGTGGCCTGGGAAGGCAGTGAAGGATGGCCCCGGGGCTGGGCCCCTACCACCACCTGGGAGACCTGAAGGAGGCTTCTCACGTCTGGCTTCGAATTGGCCCAGCTTTGCCCATTGTGGCCATTTGGGTAGTGGACCAGCGGATGAGGACCTCTCTTTCTCTCTGCCTCATCCTGTCTGTGACTGCCTTTCAAACGGATAAATGAGTCTTTAAAAAGAAACAAACAAGAAAAAAACTGAAAAATGTGGGACTTTGCCGGACTTGCCTGCATTGCAGCATCAGCGCCCGGTGCCCTGGCCCCTCTCAGCCCGCAGCCCCTCCAGGAGCCGCCTCTCTTGAGAAAGGGCCTTCTCTGCTCCTGGATGCCCTCTGGCCGCGGAGCCCTGCTCGCTGCTGCTTAGGCTGTTGGGATGTGGGTGTGAACGCGCTCTGCTCCCCTAGGCGAACTGCTCACCTCTTCTTATGCACTGGGGCCTCTCGCCTCACAGCTGGATCCCAAGATGTGGCTCTGAGGGGAGACACTTGTACACCGCAGGGAACTGTGGGGAGGAGAGGAGGTGTCTGGGGTCCACAGGCTTTTCAGCGCCTTTCACATCACCCTGCGAGTCACCGTAGGGACTTCCTTGGTGTTTTCTTTTTCAGGACATGTGAATTTCTCTGACGAGGTCACAGCTGGCTTGCGCATCTCAGACGGAGTGGTCCTTTTCATCGACGCTGCTGAGGGGGTGAGTCTCCCCTCGCCGTCCCGTCATGTTGCCCCACGCTGTGCTCTGCGCACTCAGTGAGCTGGTTGCAGAGGACAGGAAAGGCTGTGGGATTAGGTTTGCTCTAAAGTTAGGGCAGCAATTGAAGTTCAATATTAATTCTCAGTGCTGGTCTCCTTGTTGCCTGCCTAGAGAGGCTCAGAATAATCGGATCCATTGTGATTCAGGAAACATAGATGAGATGACAAATGTAAATAAAGGGCGGATGAGAGTACATTCCTATAATTGGATTTTAAATGTTAATGAGTTTTTCTAAGAGATTGTTGTTAAAAGACCAGAATGTCTTTTATATTTGTGAATTGATAGATTGGCTGACCTTGTTCCTGTTGTCATTGAGGAAATAGCCAGCAGGGGGAGCCAGAGTTGTCCCTTTTTTCTTTTTTCTTTTTTTTTTTTTTTAACAGGCAGAGTGGACAGTGAGAGAGACAGAGAGAAAGGAGAAAGGTCTTCCTTTGCCGTTGGTTTGGTTCACCCTTCAATGGCCGCTGCGGCCAGCGCACCGCGCTGATCCGAAGCCAGAAGCCAGGTGCTTATCCTGGTCTCCCATGGGGTGCAGGGACCAAGCACTTGGGCCATCCTCCACTGCACTCTCGGGCCACAGCAGAGAGCTGGCCTGGAAGAGGGGCAACCGGGACAGAATCCAGTACCCCGACCGGGACTAGAACCTGGGGTGCCGGTGCTGCAGGCGGAGGATTAGCCTAGTGAGCCGCGGCGCCGGCCCAGAATTGTCCTTTTTTAATTGGACTTCATTTTGAAGTAATTTTTTCAAGATTTATTTATTTATTTGAAAGGCAGGGTTACAAAGAGGCAGAGGTGGGGGGTGTCATTCTCTTATCAAACTTTACCTGCCAGATTTATCATCCATTGATGATTCTCGGCTTATTCCTACAGTAGTTCCAAGTAGTTTCTCAATCTCGTCTCCTCTGCATTTATTGGTCAGAATTCTTAGAGCTTTCCCTTCCACTCATCATCGGGCTTATGTATTATCAGTGTGGATATGTGGATTTCTGTTTTACTCAGAGGGTTGTACTCTATTACCAGTGCTCTATATTGTGATGCGCTAGTTGTCTCAGAATTGGCTGGTAATTCTCTTCCAGCTGGCTCCTTCCTTTACCTGTCCCATCTTTTTGTGAGCACGCCCTTACTTTCAGGCTTAAAAAGGTGTACTAGACCCCTCTTGTACCACCCCTGCCTCAGTCTTGGATCGGCCACTTCTTCAAGGAGCCCTGGCTGCCTCCTCCTCCTCCTCTTTAAAAAAGATTTTATTTATTTATTTTATTTATTTTCATTCATTCAGAAGGCAGAGTGATAGAGAAAGAGATCTCCCATCTGCTAGTTCACTCTCCAAATGCCTGGAACAGCCAGGGCTGGGCCAGAGCAAAGCCAGGAGCCAGATAACTCCTCCAGCTCTCCCACATAGGCAGCAGGGACCCAAATACTTGGGCCATCATCATCTGCCTTCCCAGGCACATTACCAGGAAGCTGGATTGGAAGTAGTGCAGCTGGGATTTGAACTGGCACTCCATCATGGGATGCTGGCATCGCAAACAGCAGCCTAATCTGCTGTGCCACAGCCCTAGCTCTGACTTCTTATAATGGAGACTGGTATTTAGAAACAAGTATCTGGGTGTGCTCATTGCCACCGGGGTACATTGCCTGTGCCTGTAGGTTCTTTCACAGAGTACAACTAGATAATATCCATGCACACATGCATACGGATATATGTAACTATTTCTACACGTGTGTATTCAAAATCATTTGTCCACGGGCAGGCATTTGGCATGTGGTTAAGATACTGCTTGAGATGCCTGCAACCTGTTTCAGAGTGCTTGACTTTGAGTTCTAGCTCCACTCCTGATTTAACAACCTACGCATGTGCACGCTGGGAGGCAGTGGTGATGGCCAAGCACTCGGGTCCCTGCCAGCCACATGGGAGACTCAGATTGAGTTCCGCTCCTGGCTATCGCCGGCATCTGGGAAGGGAATCAGTAGATGGAAGTGCTCTCTGTTTCTCTCTCTCTCAGTCCCTCTGCCTTTCAATTAAAACAAGCAAATAAATGTATACATAAATGTTTTTTAAAAATCATTTGTCCATCCTAACATCCCCCAGTTCCCATCCAGCACCACAGTTGTTGTTGGCCTGCCTTGTCCTTTCTCTAGCACTGAGAGTGTGTTTATTCATTTCTTAGTCCTACAGGGTGTCCTCTGAAAGTGCCCGCATCTGCCTTTGGCGAGATGCTGTCTGCTGCTGCCCAGCAGTGTGTTTCCCCAGGTTCTCGTTTGCCCTCTTGCTTCATGTTTGGAAGCGGTGCCCTTTTGGCTGTGCTCTGGACTTTCTGTCCTCTTTGCTGTGTCACCACCTTCAGAGCCTGTGTTTCTCAGGTGATGCTGAACACTGAGCGGCTGATCAAGCACGCGGTGCAGGAGAGGCTGGCGGTCACCGTGTGCATCAACAAGATTGACCGGCTGATCCTGGAGCTGAAGCTGCCTCCAACCGATGCCTATTACAAGCTGCGCCACATTGTGGATGAGGTCAATGGATTAATAAGGTATGAAACTGCTGGGAGTGGATTTCCGGTCCTCAGGGACGCTGGTTTTTATAAATCTTAATTTTACCCTTGAATACCTTTGGGAGCAACTCTGATTTACTTCTTGACGTGTGTGGATGAGCTTGTTGGGCAAGACTGGAGGCACATCTCAGGTCTTTACAGAGATTGCCTCCACGACCTTGACCTCAGTACCTGTGCCTTAGCCAGTTGTGACCTTCGTGCATCTTTAATTTATTGTCATGGGCAATACCTTGAGCTCTAGGATTGGTCTCATCCTAGCTGCGTACCAACTACATGAAGTAGGGAAAATAAGTTAAGCTCTCTTGTAGAGTCGGGCAAATTACATAAGCTCAGTTTCCATTTCTATAAAAAATGGAATGATGGTAATATTTGCCTAGAGGGATGTTACAAGAAATTAAATAAAGCCAATCTTATCTGCAGGCTGAAGTATGTACTGAACGACTCCTGAGACCCCTAAGTGGGCGAGGACACGGCCACTGGGAGCTTGTCTGACGGCTGGGGCCGGTGACAGCTCCGCTGCCCGCAGCTGCCCCAGCCTGCGGCACTGCTGCCTACTGGGAGTGTCTCCTCCTCATCCCTGGAGTGGTTGGGAATGGCTGGAGCCCAGCCCAGCGTCATGGGTCCAAAAGATGAAGTAATAGCACTTCTTTTTAAAAGGAAGGCTGGGGGTGGGATGGAACTAAATCCTGATCTACCAGGATAGAAAATCAAGAGGGCATGTTTGAAACCTCAAAATCAGAAAGCAGCAAAACAGTATTTAGGGATATGGAGGTAAGTACTCCAGGCAGCTATAAAATGGATTGAAGCCGCTTGCCACTGGGGAGCAGAATGGGGGGTGCAGTGGGATGGATAGGGGCCGTTCTTTATAAGCTAATGCTTTCGTTTCCAAGTGAGAGGATCCCATAAAATAATGTGCCCGTTAGGATAGAGTTGTGGGTGTGACCCCTGTGTACAGCTGATTTTCTTACAAATGCTCGTGACCTTTTGAGGTGCTTGCGGTTTAGCATTCATGTTTAAAAGAAAGCCGAAGACTACAGGACAAAGAAGAGTAGAAGGATAAATTACCTCTGTGTCTCTCTCGCTCTTTCTCTTATGTTTGTGTTTGTGAAGTTGAGATTTCTCTCAAATATATTCATTTCTTATCACTTTAGATTCATTTCCCGTCTTCCAAGGTCTTTGTCTCTGTCCTCCACATTTGCCCTTGTCTGTCTGATGTGGTTAGCTCCTCCAAGGTTGTGCGGAACGTTCCCGGCTCTGAGAAGCCAGCTTGTTACTGAGAGTTAGGGAACAGCTCCATCATGTCACTTCCTTGGACCAGGCTGTTGGCCAGACTGAGCGTCTTATGCAAGCTCCTCCTGAGGGCTGGCGAGTGGCTGTGTAGGCGTCCCTGCCCGTCCCCCGTGGCAGAGGTCAGGGCCTGCGGCACGCTTACCCTGTGTCTGTTGCAGCATGTATTCCACCGACGAGAACCTGATCCTCTCCCCGCTCCTGGGCAACGTCTGCTTCTCCAGCTCCCAGTACAGCATCTGCTTCACGCTGGGCTCCTTTGCCAAGATCTACGCCGACACCTTTGGTGAGCTCAGCCTGGCACTGTCTTGCCAGCCTCCCCAGAGTCCTGTGTGCCTCTCCCCTGAATGCCTCAGAGGTGGCTTCGCATCACAGTGTCCTGCTGGGGAGAGCATTTTGCTGCCTTTTATAGTTACAAGTGAGCCTCTTTTTGGCCTCCAGACCAAAAGGGGCTGAGTGGCTTCAGAACAGTAGTAAGATGAACGTGACTGGGAGCGAATGGGAGAACAGGGGGCTTGTCTTAAGCATAAACGCTTTAGAGCGAGACAGATTCTGAGAAGTGCAAGTTTCCCATGCGTACAGAGGCCTTCCAGGCCTCCTGCTCACAAGTGGACTCTCCCTCACCGTGTGTGCTGCCAGCGACTCTCCAGCCCGATCTAGGCACATGCACATTTGCAAGGCCTGGTTGAGAACTCAGGCTGGACGTGGAGTCAGCACATGCGAGCCTCCGCTACAGACCCAGCTGAATGATTTCCCAGGTTTCTGCAACCGTGACCCCCAGTCTCCGTGCCGCTTCCTGGCTGTCTATCCCTGTGCCTCCCAGTTACCACAGATTCCAACAAGAACCCCGTACAGAGAGTCTGTTGTGTGTCAGGTGCTATTCTGCCTTCGAGGGGAATCCCTGGTACCCCATTTACCGAGCTGAGGGGCCAGGCCCTGTAGGGTCTCCCAGTTGGTAAAGCCTGGAGCACCAGCACTGCTGCTTGCCCATTGGTTAGCCTGCCTCCCCTGCAGGTGGACACCTTGCTCTCATGAGAGAAAGGGTGGGTAAACCTGGATCCTTTTAAAAACATGTAGCTATTTAATTATATGCACATTGTAGAAAGTATATTAAAGCCTAGTTGAAAAAAAATCAAAATTCATACCTAACTTCATTACCATAACAAATTTTAGTACTTTGTTATAATTCCCTCTGTTATTTTATGTAAATTATATCATATTACTTAGATTGATATAAGGGATCTTAAAAGTTCATGGTACATGTACATTATGAAAAAATATGTATGGATTTCAAAATACTTTACACCAAAATAAACCTCTGTCCTCTGGTTTGCTCCCTAAATGCCCACAACAGTAAGAGCTGGCCCAGGCTAAAGCTAAGAGCCCAGAACTCAGTCTACATCTTTCTTATGAGTGGCAGGGACCCAGGGACTTAAGCCATCAACTGCTGCCTCCTAGAGTGTATATTAGTAGGAAGCTGGACCCAAACCCTGGCACTCCTGTATTGGATGTAGGTTTCCCAAGCGGCATCTTAACAGCTGCACCAAACACCTACCCCTTTTTATTCTTTTATTTTCTTGAAAAGCAGAGATAGAGAACTTTCATGCCTCTCAGGGTCTGCATCAAGAGCTCTTCACTCAGAAGAGCTTGACTTAAGCCACAGTTGGCTGGTTCAGTTGGACCAGGATTAACAGTTGCAGGCAAACAGAAAAGTGAGAAACGAGACCAAGAGTGGCTTTGGTATTTTCTCTTTAGAAGATCCGGTGATTGCTTGCAAGAAGCTTAAAGCCAGAGCCTGATGGTGAGGCTGCAGCCGGAAGGTGGCACCTACTGGCCGCAGAGGAGAGCTTCTCTGTGGATCAGGAAAGAATGAAGGAGCCCACAGGCTTCGCTCCTGGAGGGGATGTGTTTAGATGTAGGTAGAGGATGAGTACAGGCAGTTGAGCCTGTCCCATCGAGGAAAGGCTGGAAACCGTGCCCTGTCCATAGCTCATCCTAGTGCCTGCTGGAAATGAGATGCTGAGTTCCCATTTTGGCTACAGCACAGCCTTGGCAATTGTGGGCCATTCCCGTGCTTTGTACCTCAGTGTCCACATTTCTTCCCTGGTTAGAGGGTAATTTCTGGACCCTGGAAAGGAAGGGCTAGAATTCCTCAGCTGTGAACCATTTATGGCATCTGAAACAGAATTTTGAACAGTACTTTGCTAGATAGATTATAATTTTCTGGCTTCTCATATAGGTGATATTAATTACCAGGAATTCGCTAAGAGACTCTGGGGTGACATCTACTTCAACCCTAAGACGTAAGTAAAGTATGGGATGTGACTCTCTGGTGGGCTAATCTGTGTTCCCAGTAAGAGCAGTCAGATGTAAGAACTCCCAAGACACCATCTTTCCTGCTCAGAGTTGGCTTCACGAGCGTAACTGAGTAGGAGGCTGTCTCTCCTGAGGGCTCCTGGCCCCGCACAGGCGTGCAGGGGAGTCATAGCCACGAGTCCTCTCTGGAATCTCTCTTGGGGAACTTTACAGTCGCACACACATTCCTCCCCTTGGCTCCTGCTCAGATTCAGAACTCACAGTACACTGGACTCAGTGACACTGCCTTCTCCCTCCTGGTCTCTTACCACTCTGTTGTTGTTCATAACATTTTTACTTGAGAGGCAGAGATGGTCAGGCAGAGAGCCTTTATCTGCTAGTCCATTACCCAACCGTCTGCAATGGTAGTGCTGGGCTGGGCTAGAACCAGGAGCCAGGAACTCAGTCCTGGTCTCTCACGGGGGTAGCAGGGAGCCAACTATGGGAACCAGAGCTGGGACTCGAACCCAAGAACTCCTGTAAGGGAAACAGATTTCTCAGCTGAGGTCTTAACCATTGCCCAAATGCCCATCCCTCTTCTTTTTAGGCGAAAATTCACTAAAAAGGCCCCGACCAGCAGCTCCCAGAGGAGCTTTGTGGAGTTCATCTTGGAACCTCTTTATAAGATCCTTGCTCAGGTGAGTGGCAGGCTCTGAGCTTCAGTCTGTTCTAAGCTTGAGGTGGAAAAGCAGGTAGGTGTGGACTTCCCTTGGCCCCAGCCTGCTGAGTTTTGTATCACTGAGTGGCTCACTGGTTGCTTATTAAGAATTCTGCAAAGTCTGTTTAAATCAGAAAAACGGAGGGGTACAAAAGAAAAGGCGTAGCCTGGAGAAGGTGTGTGGCAGATTTGAACCATTCAGAATGTGCCACTTCAGACCTAATTGTTGCAGTTGTCGGAATTTATGTACAGGTGTAGTTGTGGAAGTCTTCAGGTTATTCTTACGTGTGTTTGCATGTGCATGTGTGCTTATAGCATTATAACTGCAGGAAGAAATAAGTTGTGTTCATCAGTGAGAATCTGACTAAATGAATTATGGTATACCCCATGAAATGAAGTATGTAAAAAAGGAAGCAATGGAAATAATGGCTGCGTGAACGTTGTGGTGCCTGTTCTGGGCATGCATGGAAGCAGTGTGTATCAGTTGAAAGGGTAGAGCAGTACTCTTTAGAATACTATACCGCAGTAAGAAACAACGAAATCCAGTCATTTGCAACAAAATGGAGGAATCTGGAACACATCATGCTGAGTGAAATAAGCCAGTCCCAAAGGGACAAATACCATATGTTCTCCCTGATCGGTGACAACTGACTGAACACCAAAAAGGAAACCTGTTGAAGTGAAATGGACACTATGGGAAACGGTGACTTGATCAGCATAGCCCTGACTGTTAATGAACAACTTAATACATTATCCCTCTTAGTAGTTTTTTTATCTGTTCTACTTAATATGACTGGTTTAATTCTGTAATTAATACACAGTTATTCTTAAGTGTTGAAAATTAACTGAAATGTGATCCCTGTTAAACATAAGAGTGGGAATAAGAGAGGGAAGAGATGTATAATTTGGGACATGCTCAAGCTGACTTGCCCCAAATGGTAGAGTTAGAAACATACCAGGGGATTCCAATTCAATCCCATCAAGGTGGCATGTACCAATGCCATCTCACTATTCCAAGTGATCAATTTCAGTTCACAATTGATCATAATGAAAGGACTAAGAGTCAAAGGGAGCACATGAACAAGTCTAATACCTGCTAACACTAACCGATAGAATAAATAAAGGGGAGAGTGATCCAACATGGGAAGTGAGATACTCAGCAGACTCATAGAATGACAGATGTCCTAAATAGCACTCTGGCCTCAGAATCAGCCCTAAAGGCATTTGGATCTGGCTGAAAAGCCCATGAGAGTATTTCAGGCATGGAAAGCCAAGACACTCTGGCAAAAGATCTCTGTGAGTGAGATCCCAGTGGAAAGAACAGGTCATCAAAGAAGGAGGTACCTTTCTCTGAAGGGAGGAGAGAACCTCCACTTTGACTATGACCTTGTCTAAACAAGATAAGAGTCGGAGAACTCAGAGGGCTTCCATAGCCTTGGAAACTCATGACTGGAGCATAGGGAGATTACTGATGCCATAGACAGGAGTGTCAATTGGTAAAGTCAACAACAGGAGTCACTGTGCACTTACTCCTCATGTAGGATCTCTGTCCTTAATGTGCTGTGTATTGAGATTTAATGCTATAACGAGTACTCAAACAATATATTTCACTTTGTGTTTTCATGGGGGTGCAAACTGTTGAAATCTTTACTTAATGCATATTAAACTGATCCTCTGTAAAAAAAAAAAAAAAGAAAAAGAAAAAGAAATTATCAATTCCCAACTTGACTCTCACTGGGATTAAACATGATAATAGGTCTGCTCTGATTTCATCATCATTTAAAAAAAATCATCTATTATTTTTCACTTTATGTTTCTGTGTGAGAGCAAACTGTTGAAATCCTTACTTAATGTATACTAAGCTGATCTTCTGTATATTAAGATAATCGAAAATGAATCTTGATGTGAATGGAAGGGGAGAGAGAGTGGGAAAGGGGAGGGTTGTGGGTGGGAGGGACGTTATGGGGGGGAAGCCATTGTAATCCATAAGTCGTACTTTGGAAATTTATATTCATTAAATAAAAGTTTAAAAAAAAAAAAGGGTAGAGCAGAAAATGTAAGGATGCAGTTAAACATGTGGGGTGCCCAAAAGAAAAGAATGAGATGTTACACACAGATGTGAGTTTGTGCAGTGTAAATGTGGAACTAAACGGGTAGAAGTGTCATATGGGAATTTTCATACAGACCTTGTCCCAAAACAGTAATGAAATATGCAGGTATTTAATAAGCACTGTGCACAGTGGGCACACACAAACCTACACAGGATGTGTGTGGCCGTTCCAGTTGACACAATAGCAAAGCATAGCAACAAGACAAATAGCAATTAAAATTTATTAGTGCTAAAAAGTATTTAGTATCTCCTGTCAGACTGGAATGGATTAATAAAATAAGTTTATGGGCTCTGCTCACTGGAGACCTCGAGGCTGCTGCTGCTGGTTTAGCTTGGCCCTGTCCCCACAGGGTGGACTGTGAGGTGACCTTTTTTGGTTCCTTCCAGCGAAGTCATCCTCTAAATTTGCAGTCTAAGTAGCGGGTGTGGGGGGGATTTCCTGAGTGAGAGGCATTGCTGCCCTTCAGACACCAGGGGGCAGCTCTGATGGCAGGGAAGCTGAGTGCCAATTGGCTGACAGATTTCACCAAGCTGGCTTCACCAGGGGTTGAAGTGTGGGTATCAAAGACTCCCCTAAGCCAAACTGTTGTCGTTGCCAATAGTCTTCTCCCTGTAGAAGAGAACCGAGTATCGCCTCTTCGGATTGCCCGCAGCCTCCCCTTGTCCTCCTCTGTAGCCCCTCACTGGGGTATCACTACAGCTGGCCTGGTGTCTGCCACCCTCACAGGTCGTGGGCGATGTGGACACCAGCCTCCCAAGGACCCTGGACGAGCTTGGCATCCATCTGACCAAGGAGGAGCTGAAGCTGAATATCCGCCCGCTGCTCAGGCTGGTCTGCAAAAAGTTCTTTGGCGAGTTCACAGGTGAAGCGCACAGGGCCCCTCGGTTCCCACCTTGTGTCCTGCTGTGCGGATCATGGGGATTTTTTCTTACCCTGCAGTGAAAGTCAGAGATCTGAGGCTCTTTTATACAAACCGCGTTGGGGAGACAAGACATCTGTACCCTCTCCCACTTTCTCTACTTAGCAGATAGTGTATTTCTCAGAGGGGAGGAATTGGTTGAGGGGGTGATCTTAGTAGGCCTGGGAAGACCAGGTGTGCTTAGTGAGCTCAGTGTAAGTGCTCACGCCCAGTCTCACAGGTTGATGTAGATCCTTGAAGATTTTTGCAAGCTGCTTCTGGGAGCCACATACAGCTGAGGGGTCCCTGGTGGTTCACTGTCATCAGTATGCCTCCAGCTCTCAGCAGCATATTCCCAGGAAAGAGGCATCATTTCTTCCTGGAATCCTAGTTTCATAGTTTCTGGAGCTGCACCATCCAGTGTGGATTTGTAGCTCTTGCTCACTCCCCTGTGAGAGTGGGTAGTAACTGCTGTCTCTTCTCCCTCCACAGGCTTCGTGGACATGTGTGTACAGCATATCCCTTCTCCAAAAGTGGGCGCCAAGCCCAAGATCGAGCACACCTACACCGGGGGTGTGGATTCTGACCTCGGCGAGGCCATGAGTGACTGTGACCCTGACGTAAGGGAACCTGGCCCCCTAGTTCTCTGCTTTTCCCCCACTTTCATGGAAATGCTGATTTCTGGTCACAGGAATAATGAATGCCCTCTTTCTCAGCCTTCCTGCCCCTTCCCATGAGCATAGTCAGGCCTGAATTCAAGCCCAGTGTTGCCGCTGCTTGTGTTGCAGCCTAGGGAGTGCTACTGGAACTTCCTGCATCTCAAGGTGTTGTGATGTAAAGTGAGGGTAATAATAATGAGTGCTTGCTAGGAGAATTAAGCAGATTGAGGGAGGGTTACCATTGTGTTTAGCATGGTGCCTGGCAGATAGTGAAGACCCGACCAGCAGTAGATAATCTCATCAGCCATGGCTTCTAAAAACCTTTCCGAGACATTCCTTAGTAAATTTAAGTTACTCATCATAATCATGCAGCCAGTGTAGAATTGGGAGTTAGTCTTCAGAGGGAATTTAAGGCAAATTATCTTGCCAGTGGTGCCAATCTGCCATCCTAAACCTGCTTCATCGCCTCATTTCCTGGGGAGAAAAAATACTTTTTTACTATGCCTGTGTCTTCTACGTTTAGAATTTTCCTGGGAGCTCACATCTTCCTCTATAGGTCTGGGTTGCTGTCTCGGAGCTCATATCATCACTGTCGAGGGGCGTGAGAGGGTGGTGCCCACTCAGAGGGCTGTGTGTGTGTATGTGTGGTAAAGCTGCACTCCCTCCCCTCCTCTAGGGTCCGCTGATGTGCCACACAACCAAGATGTACAGCACAGATGATGGAGTTCAGTTTCACGCCTTTGGGCGCGTGCTGAGTGGCACCATCCATGCTGGGCAGCCTGTGAAGGTGCTGGGGGAGAACTATACCCTGGAGGATGAGGAGGACTCTCAGATATGCACTGTGGGCCGCCTTTGGATCTCCGTGGCCAGGTACTGCCATCCAGAACCTACAGAGCAGGCTTCAGTCTGTCCCGGGACTGCTCCAGGGAGCTGCGAGGGGTGGTCCTCCTTGGAAACAAGAGCTTCCTGGCTCCATACAGTTAGGGGAGGAGATGACCCACCTTCATCCGGCCACTTGACTTTGACTGTCACTACTCCAGGTAGCTAGGTTAAAAGGCAGCCATTACTGGGATAATGCCAAAAGCTTTGCCTCTATGATTTAGATGACTGTATAAACTTTGTAGCAGGATTTCCTTCTTAATCCTCTCATTTCCTTTTTTTGTGTGGCTTATTATAACCTTCATGCTTATTCCCAAAAGAAATTGTTTCCCACCCTCCGCTGTTTATTCTTTGACCAAATTAGAAGTCTTTGCTGGATGCCTTGAGCATCCTAGTCTGCAGAGTCGAGCTTAGCTTGGGCCTCTGGGCAGCTTGTCAGTTTGAGGTTGGCATCTCAGTTGGCAGGCAGAACCCAGGCAGTCCTGTTGCCTGATGTGGTGCTGTGCCTTCCAGCATGGCTACTTGTTCTTCCTCCGAGTCCACCTGTTCCCTAGAAGGCAGAGCTAGGGCGGTTACAGCGCCTTCTGCAGTGCTCTCGGCATCTCCATCACCTTGGGCAGCAGCTCTTAACCATGAACTTCCAGTTGGAATTAGAGTTCCCTGTTGCATCCTCTTCAATGCTTTGCCGTCTTCTCTAAAGCATGTATGGGTTTGTTACTGCACCTGTGTAGCTATGTAGTTTTTGTTCTCTCCCTTGCTAGAAAGTGTCTGTTTTGTTTACCCCTGCTCCCGACTTGTGGCTGGCACATGACAAGTGCTTGGTGTGTTTTGGTGGAGTGAATGCTGTTGCTAATGATTGGATTTTACTCCAGGTACCACATTGAGGTGAACCGTGTTCCTGCAGGCAACTGGGTTCTGATTGAAGGTGTTGATCAACCAATTGTGAAGACGGCAACCATAACTGAACCCCGAGGCAATGAGGAGGTAGAGTTTCTCAAAAGTCCAGCTGGACTGGCTTAAGCTGTCATGTCCCAAGGAACCATGGCACACATGAGCACCAAGCCGCAGAACTCACAGGGGCCCAAGTCAGAGTCACTGTGGCTTCCTGGTGCCAGGCCCCAGCATTCTAGATCTGACCCTGCTGGATTTTCCCTGTACTCGGCTCAGATGTTGGGGATTAGGAGGAGTGGCCTTTGTTCTTCTCTTCTTCTCTTCTTCCTGCTGAAATACATGGGGATAAATGCCTTTCAGGATGCCCTCAGCATCGTGACTCCTGGCTGGGGAATAGTCTGGCCTTCAGCAAGTCCTCAGGTCTGCACCTGCTGGGCCTGTGCAGGCAGATGCCTTCACTCCTCTGCATTTTGATTTCAGGCTCAGATTTTCCGGCCCTTGAAGTTCAATACTACATCTGTTATTAAGATTGCCGTGGAGCCCGTCAACCCATCAGAGCTCCCCAAGATGCTCGACGGCCTGCGCAAAGTCAACAAGAGCTATCCATCCCTCACCACCAAGGTAGGTTTGCAAGAGCACTCCTTACCTGGCTAACTGGCCTGTGCCGCCCCCCACTTCCCTGCCGTCAGGTGTTTCTGATCCACTGCTTCCTGCCACCTATACCAGAAACAGACTGTGCCTTTTACCATCATTTAAAGGCAGGACAAGGACTCTGTGTATATGTGTCTGTGTGTGTTTTCCCCAAATCATTAAATTTTTTTTTTAAAAAAGATTTATTTATTTACTTGAAAAGCAGTTAGAGAGATCTTCCATCTGCTCATTCACTCCTCAAATGGCTGCAACGGCCGGAACTCAGCCAGGCCAAAGCCAGGAACCAGGAACTCTATCCAGGTCTCACATGTGGGTGCAGGGGCCCAACTACTTGGGCCATTTTCCTCTGCCTTCCCACATGCGTTAGCAGGGAGCTAACGGAATAAAAAATGGAGCAGCTGGGACACAAACCAGTGCTCATATGGGGTGCCAGCATCACATGCAGCGGCTTAACCCATATACCACAATGTCAGTCCCCCCAAATATCTTTACGTAGGAAAAAGAACTTTATTGGACATTGCTTTTTGAACTAATTTTCCAGGAGAGATAGACAGGAAAATTAGTTGCTTTGATCCTTGTACAGCCTTAAGCCTGCCAGCATATGTTTTGAGTAGTTGATCAGGGCTAAAGGAGTAGATTGTATCCATGGACATAGGGTAAGGTTTTCCCTAAATAGCTAAGATGGGAACTAAATGAGTGACCTCGCACCAAGTGGTGCTGGAGTCTTGACGACCGACTGATAGATGTTTCCCACCAAACCTTGAAGGGGGTGGAACTGACGCTGAACAGTGACTGTCATGGTAGCGTGGGCTCCTCCTCTTCTGGGTCCTGGCTTTGCTGCTGGTGTGTCTGCTCTTGCTGGTCTAAAGAGTTCCTGCTGTAACCACCAGGCTGCTGTGTTGCAGGTGGAGGAGTCTGGTGAGCATGTGATCCTGGGCACTGGGGAGCTCTACCTGGACTGTGTGATGCATGACTTGCGGAAGATGTATTCAGAGATTGACATCAAGGTACAGTAGTCCCCACGCCTGGCCAGGAGCTGGTGGGCCCACAGATCCAGACTGTTTCACCATAACCAAACCATCCGTCTCCCTGGAAGCTCCAAGGGAGAGGAGAGGGGTCCACTGGAGCAGCTCTGCTGGTGAAAAGCATGGTCTGCAACTCCTTCTTCTTTTTTTTTTTTTTTTTTTTTTTTTTTTTTGACAGGCAGAGTGGACAGTGAGAGAGACAGAGAGAAAGGTCTTCCTTTGCCGTTGGTTCACCCTCCAATGGCCGCCGTGGCAAGTGCGCTGCGGCCAGCGCGCTGCGGCCAGCGCACCGCGCTGATCTGAAGGCAAGAGCCAGGTGCTTCTCCTGGTCTCCCATGGAGTGCAGGGCCCAAGGACTTGGGCCATCCTCCACTGCACTCCCTGGCCACAGCAGAGAGCTGGCCTGGAAGAAGGGCAACCGGGAAAGAATCCGGCGCCCCGACCAGGACTAGAACCCGGTGTGCTGGCGCTGCTAGGTGGAGGATTAGCCTATTGAGCTGCAGCGCCGGCCATGCAGCTCCTTCTGTGGGAAGTTGTCAGAAGGCTTGCTGCCTCCTGTTGGCTTGGTCTTGGTGTCATACAAGTTTAAAGTCAAGGTTCTCAAGGCAGAGTTACTCTTGGTGCTTTGTTGGGAAAATCATTGCACAGTCTGGTGATTAGGGCTCAGTGGGTTAGGAGAGAGTGGGGACTGGCTCCCCTGGATTCAGAGTCCAGTCCTGACATAGCCTCGCAGTGAAAACAAGCACTGGCTGGCCTCCATCTGCTGCTTCAGATGCGTATTCTCTCCAAGGCCCTGTGGTGCTGGGGACACATGCCCTTAACACCCCTTTCATAATGGTGTGCCCTGGGCTGAGGCCATTGGCCAGAGGGTTTCCCGGCAGCAGATCATGTGGGAGTGTTAGGGGTGCTATGCACACAGGCATTAAGAGGGTGAACGTGGAGTGGGTGCTTGCCAGTGGGTCCCCAGCACCAGTCCCGTCAGACCCACAGGGGTCATTCAGTGCTGGTGGAGGACCGGCAAGTAGATATTGAGAGCTACTCCAGAAGACTATAATTAAGGCCCCTGCTGGTCCCCTAATTGCTCTTGGCTTGGGAATATCGCTTCTTGATTACACTAAGTTTTCTCAGACCTTTCAGCAAAGTGCAGATGAGGGTTTTGAGCGGCTGCTGTGCTGCTTGTCACTCGTGCTGATGAAGGCAGGAGGTGGGAGGAAGTGGTTCTCACAGGGAGTGCCGGGAGCTTCAGAATTCAGGGTGGATGGCTGTCCTTCCAACACACAGGCCTCACCTCCCTGCTTTGTCTTGTTCCCAGGTGGCCGACCCCGTCGTCACGTTTTGTGAGACAGTGGTGGAAACATCCTCCCTCAAGTGCTTTGCTGAAACGCCCAATAAGAAGTAAGCTGGGGGCTCAGCGTCCCTGGGACTGATGGCTTAATGGGCACACCCTCCCCCCCAGCTCCACCCCAGCACCGGGCTGTGGAGGCAGAGCCGTCTGAGTCTTGGGATGGGCGGACATTTAGGGTACATGTGTCTCACTCCCCTGCTGCCCGCCTGTGCCTTTGGACAGGGTGCTGTGGCATTCTTCACCTAAGAATTCACAGCAATGATGGAGCTGGACTGATGCGAAGCCAGGAGCCAGGGGCTTCCGGGTCTCCCACATGGTGCAGGAGCCCAAGGACTTGGGCCATCTTCCACTGCTTTCCCAGGCCACAGTGGAGAGCTGGATCAGAAGTGGAGCAGCTGGGACTCGAACCAGCGCCCATATGGGATGCCAGCACTGGGGCCAGCAGTTCTGCCCACTATGCCACAGCACTGGCCCCCAAACTTTGCTTTTAAAAACAGGTAGGGGGTGCCAGCACTGGGGCGCAGCGGGTTAAAGCCCTGGCCTACAGCGCCAGCATCCCATATGGAACCGATTTGAAGCTCCACTTTCTGATTCAGCTCCCTGCTGAAAGCTTGGGAAAACAGTGGAAGATGACCCAAGTCTTTGGGCCCCTGCACCTATGTGGGAGACCCGGAGGAGGCTTCTGGCTCCTGGCTTCAGATTGGCCCAGCTCCAGCTGTTGCAGCCATTTGGGGAATGAACCAGTGAATGGATGTCTGTCCCCCCACCCCACCTCTCTCTCTTAACTCTGCCTTTCAAGTAAATAAATAAAATTTAAAAAAAAAAAAAAAAGATTCAAATGAAAAGAGAAGATGAGCCCTTTTTGCTCTTCCCTGCCCCTTCGGCTTGCACGAACATCCCTGCCTGGCTGTCCACTTTGCCACCCCTTAGCTATCCCTCGCACCAGTCCTACGACCCCTCATAACCCGTGTCCTTCCTGCCAGGAACAAGATCACCATGATAGCCGAGCCTCTGGAGAAGGGCCTTGCCGAGGACATAGAGAACGAGGTGGTCCAGATCACGTGGAACAGGTGGGGAATGCAGCTTACCTGCCCGGTCTCGAGTCCCACAAGCTCCTCTGCAAAGCCACGCGTATCCCCCTTTGCTGTTTGCTCAGCACGGTGTGGGTGGGACGAAGTGACTGCAGAGAGGGAAGGTCCCCAGGAGCCAGCAGTCACAGAGCTGTCTGTCGCTGAGTTTCCCCCATTTCCCTCCTTCCCCCAGGAAGAAGCTGGGAGAGTTCTTCCAGACCAAGTACGACTGGGATCTGCTGGCTGCCCGTTCCATCTGGGCTTTCGGCCCTGATGCCACCGGCCCCAACATCTTGGTGGATGACACCCTGCCCTCGGAGGTACAGCAGAACTGATGGGAACCTTGGGGTGCTGTCTTCCCGGAAGCTTTTTGTGTCCTCTGGTGATGGAGGGGATCCTCTTAGTGGCTGTGCGTGTCCTCTCCCTCAACTCCCGGGCTGTTGACAGGAGCTTGCTAAGGAGCTCCCATGTTTCTCTGCAGGTGGACAAGGCTCTTCTTGGCTCAGTGAAGGACAGCATCGTCCAGGGTTTCCAGTGGGGAACCCGGGAGGGGCCCCTCTGTGATGAGTGTAAGTCTGTCAGCACCTCCCCGCCCCAGTTCTCAGGGACCTTGCAGCTAGGGTGGGCCCGCCAGCTTTGAGGCCTGGCAGGTGAAGCAGTGTGGGGCACCCAGGGCCATCCCCTGTGCTGGGCCAGCTTCCTCCCTTCCTCCCCCTGCCCTGGTGCCGCAGTTAGGATGCATCCTGACTGACATTTTCTCCTCCTTCCTGGGAAGGCTTTGACTTGGAGTGTGTTTGAGGAGAGATACCAAGAGGGCAGTGAGGTTGGAGTGGTTTATGGACAAAGATTAGACCGTGGGACCAAGTTATTGTCCGTGGGACCAAGTTAGCAATTGGATACTCTTTATCCAAACAAATTTCAGTGTCTTGTGCTGTCTAGGAAAGCCCCACATGTCTGAGCATGGCCTGAGGCAAACACTAGGAGCACAGTTCACCTTCAGACCTCTTTGCCAGGCCTTGCCTATCTCTTTGGAACGCCCTGCTCTTTGTGCTGTGTCTTTGGTATCTGTGAGACAGCTGTGATGTAGCAAGACTGTTGGTCTGGATGCCCTGGAGACTCGCCCCAGAGCCCTCCTCAGGCAGCTGTCTGCATCTCCTTTCCAGTGATTCGAAATGTCAAGTTTAAGATCCTGGATGCAGTGGTTGCCCAGGAGCCCCTGCACCGGGGTGGGGGCCAGATCATCCCCACGGCCAGGAGAGTCGTCTACTCCGCCTTCCTCATGGTAAGAGACTGGGGCTTTCCTGGACAGTGGATTAATTGGAAGACCGAGCTTGGTGCGGCCTCAAGCCTACACCCCCCAAGCTGAAGAGCCGTTTCTCTCTCCGCTGCAGGCCACTCCTCGTCTGATGGAGCCTTACTACTTTGTAGAGGTCCAGGCCCCTGCAGACTGTGTCTCTGCCGTCTACACTGTCCTGGCCAGGCGCAGGTCAGTAGCTCTGGATGTCTTAGGGGGAGTGCTGGGAGCCAGAGGGTACAGGAAGCAGCAGCTGCTGTGCTGGGGGAGAGATGGGACTCCCCTCCCATCTCCAGACCCAGTGAGTGTACTTTCTAGAAGAAATAGGAAAGCGACGAGCTTTACTCCAGGTTACAATTTGAGATTTCCTCTGAGCCCCCACCCCCACTCCCAGAGAGTCCCTGGTGGGGAGTGCTGGGTGCTGAAGCAAGTCTGTAGCACCCTGTCCCTTCAGTGTCCCCACTCCCGTGTTCTGCCCAGAGGTTGCTGTCCCTTTGACTTCCACAGAGAATTACTCTGGGAGCTCCAAGCTGGAATGCATCTGGGGCAGCAGAAGCCACACTGCAGTTTGGCTTTTGGTTTCTGCACAGCCAAGGCCTCAGCCTTTGTTTTTCCATCGCAGGGGACACGTGACTCAGGATGCACCCATCCCAGGCTCGCCACTCTACACCATCAAAGCTTTCATCCCGGCCATTGATTCTTTTGGGTTTGAAACTGATCTCCGGACGCATACCCAGGGACAGGCCTTTTCCCTGTCTGTCTTCCACCACTGGCAGGTGAGAAAGCTGTTCAGGCCAGCAGGTGTGGCCTCCCACCCCACAAGGCTAACCTTTGCCCTGTTCCCCTTGCAAGCCCTGCCTTCCTAGAGAAGAGCCCTGCTTCTGGGGCTTGACTTCTCTGGGAAGGCTGCCTGGACACCACCTGAATCCCCCTTGCCTTTCAGATTGTACCTGGTGATCCCCTGGACAAGAGCATTGTCATCCGCCCCTTGGAGCCCCAGCCAGCCCCTCACCTGGCCCGAGAATTCATGATCAAAACCCGTCGGAGGAAGGTGTGTGTCCCTCAGGCCCATTACCAACCCTCAACTCCCCTAGGGCTCAGCAGGAGCTGGGTCTCTTCATTTTTCCCTTGAGCCCTTTCCCAAGGGCCTGTAGACTGACAACAGTTTATTGCATGTAGACAGGTGCGATCTGGAAACTCCTCGTGTGGCCAGACCTGGGGCCCAGTCTGGCCAGGAAAGGAGGGCCTTCCCCTCAGCTGTGATGAGCCCCTGTAGCCCTGCAGCCTCCCCTGCAAGCATAGGTCTTGGATGGCCCCAGCCAGTCAGCCCCCGTAGGCCTCATTCTCACGTCTCTCCCACTCTCTGCAGGGCCTGAGTGAAGATGTGAGCATCAGCAAGTTCTTCGACGACCCTATGTTGCTGGAGCTTGCCAAACAGGATGTTGTGCTCAATTACCCCATGTGAGTGTGGGGCCTGCTGACACTGCTTGCCGTAGGTGCGGCTCCCGGGCTTGAGGCTGAGGCCTGCTGGGCCCTTCACCTTGTCAGCAAGTGTCCTGGAAACACTGTGCTCGCCTTGAAAAGCCCACGGACTTCCAACCCAGAGCCCCAGTAGGGGAGGAGCATTGTTCCCTCATGTTTCTTCTGTGGCCTCCACCTGGCTCCATTTCCAAGAAAAAGAGGAACTTGGGCTCAAGGAAAGAGAAGGATGAAAGTGTTTAACTCCAAGGGGCCCTGTCTTTGGAATAACATGGAATTTATTTTTACAAGTTCAACCTTAGCCATGGTTCGTAAGTGAACAGAACATTCCGACTTCTGCCTTGTGCCTCTTTCATCCCCACCCCCACATCCCGTCCAGTCCTGGCCCCTACATTCTGGATGTACGTCATCTCCCTTGAGGCTTCACTGCCTCTGCTCCCAGCTGTAGGCTCCTTCCTGCCTCCGAACTCCATGGTCCCCTGAGCATGCCCCACCCTCCCACCCACGCCATGCTGCTCTGGTGGGACCTGAGGTGTATGAGCTGGTTGGGTTGCCGGGCTCCGAGGCCTGCTACACCTCCTCAGGATACTGCTACCTCTTAAGAATCTCTCTTGCCCTGGAGTTAGGGGCCAGAGCACTTGGATTTGTGGCCATTTTTCTAGGTCCTCTCACCAGCCACCACCATGGGTCCCTTACTCTTTTCTCTGCCCATGAAGAAGAGACTGTTGCTTTTCCACAAGACTTCTTTATTAGGAGCACACAGGGATTGCTGCAGAAGTCTGACTACCCCGGTCCCCGTGAGTCTACTTCTCCCCAGCATCCGGTGCTGTCCTCTTGCTGTAATCTCGGTACATTGTGTACACAGCGCCTGTGTAGGGAGAAGGAGAAAGGCCCCTTGGCATGGAGCCCTGCACCTGTGCGCTGGTTCTCCCAGGTGTCCCTGGGGTTCGGTCTACAGCCGTTCCCTTAAGAGCCCAGCTGCCTCACTCGTCTTTCTGCCCCAGGTGCCAGCAGCTGCTCCAACATCTGACCAGGCAGCCCGGGCAAACAGCCCACCTGACAGAGCGCTCCTGCGTATTGTCTGGGGGAACCTCACAGAAACCTGTGAAGCAGGCAGGCGAGGGGTGACCACGGTTAGGGTTTAGTGGGAAAACTGAGGCTCGGTGAGCGGGATTTGTCCACTGTCACTCAACGAGTAGCTCTCTGCTCTCTAATCCCGGGAGGAAGAGAATTGGAGTGTGTACATCCTGCCGCGTGACTCTATCCCTCTGGGGCATCTTGTCGGAACGGGCTGCATACCCTCACCTTAGGCCAGGGATAGGAGGTTGAACAGGGAACCCTGGAAATGGCTCTGTGTCCAGGTTGTCCCCACAGGCCTGATGGAGAGCCTGGTGCAAGGAGCAGGAACTGAAGTCGCAGTCCCTTCCACTGTCAGGACTCAGAGCCAGACTTTGCCTAATCTATTTTGCCCTCATTCTCCTGGGACCCCACCAACCTACTCACCTAGCATAATGGCACCCACGGCACAGGCCTGTGCTGCTACTCGGGTGTGGATCAGGTGTATGGACATCTTGGTGGACCCCCGAGCCTTCAGCCGATAAATCCTGTAAGTTGCCACCAGCAAGCAGCCTCCTAAGCCTGTGGGCAGAGCACAAGACCTCCTGGCCTCAGCCACGAGGCATAGTGCTCCCCGATGAGAAATGCGGCACTAGGTAAACAGCCACTCTCCTGCAGGTTCGGGGTGGGGGAGTACCCCTGGAAGATGAGCTTCCCCTCGGCATTTTCAAAGTGACTCCCTCCCCCGTGTACAGATGATAGCCCATCGTTGTCACGCACCGTCCCCACTTAGCTCCGCTCTGGGTCCTTCACCCTCTGCCGGCACCCACATCCTGGTATGTATCTGAGCCTGCCCATGCTGAGGCTGGTGTTGGGACGCCTGTGTCCCATGCACTCAGCCAGCCACCACCTCTGCCCATCCAGATTCCCTCATGTCATTGTCAGGCTTGTCCCTGGCACCTCTGCTGCTGTTACCTTGCTCAGTGTGCAGGACCAGATGAGTTCTCTGACTTGTGCTTTATTTGAAAAGACTCAGATGCACGAACGCCTTGCCCCCATTCCCTTCCCTGCTTACCTATAGGCACCAGCGGAGACTCCCTGGTCTTCCTCAGGAACTTTCCAGAAACACTCTCCTCGCCCTCAGGTGGCACCCACCAGCCTTTGTTAGCAGACATGATTGTGGACCCCGATGCCGACAGCTGGGATCCGTAGGTTTCAGCCCAGTCCTGGAAGGAGGCACCCCACAGTAAAAATTCCAGAGTGGGAAGGAGGGGGTTAACTGCTGCGAGCCACACCATGCCCAGCTCAGCCTCTCCTTGAAAAGATGCCCCTCCCGGGTGTCCTGTGTCGGGTGCTGGGCCACCAGCAGCCACTTTCTCCATGTCTCCTTCCTAACATCTGCCTATTCCCTCGCTTATTCCGACTTTACACTTCGGTGTAATCCTTGAGCCAAGAAAAACAGCTGGAAAAATCCACAGATGAGAGCAGAAGGCACAGGGCCTGAATCTTGGAGTCCCCGTAGTCTTGGGTCTGTGACAGTTGCTTCTAAGAGGGCTGCAGAGCAGGCTCTGTCCCCAGGGAGCCAGAGCCACAGATTCCAGTGACCGGACATTGATTTGTTATAAGCTGCCTTGTTTCTGCACATGGATACTAAAGGGACACACTTCAGTCCTTGAACTGCTTCCCTATTCCTTGCCAGCCCCCCAGTTATCAGTCTTCTACCTCCCTCGCTGGGCTGGGAACTTGTGCGCTCTTCTCACTCAGACTAGACTGAGACCAGGAGTTACACCAGTGGGAGGTCTTCTGAGACCCATCCTGCTTGAGTCAACTTTTTCTGGTTGCCCCTCCTGTCCCGGTGGCCCCCAGTCCTAGCATGCTGGTTCTTACCCTAGGAGAGGCTAGAAAGTGGAGAGTGCGCAGCCACGCCGGGACCGAGCATCTGCTGTTCTGAACCAGTCAAGAGCTGTGGTGGGAGCCGCCACTATGGGGTCAAGGAAGCAGCAGCTTGGACTTTATGGAGACTTTGAAGTGAGAGAGGCAAGGGGAGGAGATAGGACAGGACATTTGTCTTAACCCCCCGTCTGCTGAGCTCCGGGCCCTGGGAAGGCATGTTAGACCAGATGGCGGGAGCTCCAGCTAGGCTGGATCTCTGGACAGGAGTGGCTGCATCAGACACTGTGGGAATGGGGATTGTGATACACAAGCAGGGACTGGCAGAGATCCTGGTCTCCCCCCACACACATACACACACAAGTTACACTGCCTCGGTGTGCATGTCAGTAAGACACCCCAACTGTGGGAGACAGTCTCAATGGTCTCCGTCTTGATCCCTCCAGCACTGCTTTCTGGGCCCAGGAGATCTGTCCAGAGTTAGAAACCAATGGGACATCCCTCGGGGCTCCAGAGCTCTCTGCCGCCTGTGGGGCCAGTGCCCACTCCGGTGACAGGATGACAGTGGCTGGCATTAGCATTGGACTGGTCTCGATATTTGTATTTCAGATCCCTCAACTTTTCTCTTTGGTAAGTAGTTCACAAAGCAGGCTGCGTGGCACACCCAGGAACACACGGCAGGAAAATGACAGCGCCATGCTCTGAACCCAGATCTGGCCAACTGCAACTCTCACCTCCCCAGGGCTGGCCAATCATGGCTCCCCTGAGGAGGCCGGGAGAAGAGTACTTACTACGCAAGCGGGGAGCAATCGGGGTGCCCTGTGGAGAGTCCCGCTCCATCCCAGGCCTTTGTCCTTTCCCCGATGACTCTCAGCCCATGTGTCCATGCTGCATGGGCTTTTTTGGCAGGGGGGATTTGTCCAGCAGCTGATGAGCCTCTTTCTCTCCCCAGCCCTCATGGCTCTAGGCAGAGTCCCAGGGTCACAGTGATTCCCCAGGGCCGTCACGTAGCCCCGCTGTCCATGGGAACTCTCCTCCCAGCCTTTCACACACACCAGGTCCCAGCAGGAGCCTGAATTCTCAGGACCTGGGTGATCCGTGGGCTTACTGGTCCAGGCCAGAGACTACGGGGTGGCAGACTCCCAAGCCCTTTGAAGAATGGAGCAGGCGGGGGCCGGCGCCATGGTGCAGTAGGTTAATCCTCCGCCTGCAGCGCCGGCATCCCATATGGGCACTGGTTCTAGTCCAGGTTGCTCCTCTTCCAATCCAGCTCTCTGCTATGGTCTGGGACAGCAGTGGAGGGTGGCCCAGGTCCTTGGGCCCCTGCACCCATGTGGGAGACCGGGAAGAGGCGCCTGGCTCCTGGCTTCAGATCGGCGCAGTTGTGGCCATCTGGGGAGTGAACCAACGAAAGGAAGACCTTTCTCTCTGTCTCTCCCTTTCACTGTCTGCAACTCTACCTTTCAAATAAATAAATAAAAATAAAAAAAAAAAAATGGAGCAGGCTCTGGAGAGCAAAGTTCCACTTCTCCCTGTTGAGACTGGGTTGGTTCTCCCATCAGTCCAGGGCTGAGAAAACCATTACAGTTCTGTGACTTACACTTTATATGGGCCAAGCAGTGTGCTAACTGCTTTATGTAGACTGCTTATTTTATCCCCATTTCACAGACCAAAAAAAACTGAGGTTCAGTTACAGTAAGTGATAGAAAAGGGACAAGACTTTTTTTTTTTTTTTTTTTTTTTTTTTTTGACAGGCAGAGTGGACAGTGAGAGAGAGAGACAGAGAGAGAAAGGTCTTCCTTTGCCGTTGGTTCACCCTCCAATGGCCGCCGCTGCAGCCGGCGCACCGCGCTGATCCGATGGCAGGAGCCAGGATCCAGGTGCTTTTTCCTGGTCTCCCATGGGGTGCAGGGCCCAAGCACCTGGGCCATCCTCCACTGCACTCCCTGGCCATAGCAGAGAGCTGGCCTGGAAGAGGGGCAACCGGGACAGAATCCGGCGCCCCGACCGGGACTAGAACCCGGTGTGCCGGCGCCGCAAGGTGGAGGATTAGCCTATTGAGCCACGGCGCCGGCCGGGACAAGACTTTTCAAAAACAAATTATTCTCAGTTAAAGCAAAGAAGGACAGGCAGGACACACAGATCTGTCTGCTGGTTCACTCCCCAAATGCCCAGAACAGCCGGCCTGGGCCAGGAGCCTAGTACTCGGTCTGCATCTTCCATGGAGTTGGCAGGATCCCAGCCACTTGAGCTATCACCTGCTGCCTCCAGGGTGCAAGAAGTTCAAACACTCCAGTACAGGAGGCTGGTCTCCCAGGTGGCATCTTACCCGTTGCACCAAACACGTGCCCCAGGACCTGACTTCAAACCATTCCCCAAGACTAATCTAACCACTCTGGACTGTTGGGAGAATGTATGCAAAGTGGAGAGCAAGTGTTGAAACAGGAGAAATAAGATTACTTTTTATTTCAAACCTTGTGAGAACATACAGTGACTAAAACTTCCAAAGAACAGAGTCCTGTTTTAGCAAACAGATAAGATAACATTGGGATAGCATCATTTTTGTTAATATGCCAAGTCTTCAATAATGGTTTCCATTTAAATATTTCTACATTTAGTGATTTGCTTAGAAAATCTCTCTTCCAAATCAGGTCACATTAAAAGAAATTCCGGTTTTAAGGGGTCTAAATGACTGATGCAGAAAGATTAGCGTAGGCCAGAGTCAGCTGTGGAATCAATTAGACCAACCACTCCAAACACTGGTTATGCCACTGAAGTTGTGAGTGTGTCTCTCAAGCTGGAGGTAGGCTCTACCCCCGGGAGGGGGGTGCTTACTGTAAGGGCTCAAGAGATGGCTGTTAGAATTCCCTGTCCACTGGCTGGAGGCTGGGAGAAAAGCAGAAAGCCCCGGCCGCATACAGGAAGGTAACCAAATTCACACCCATCCCATCCCTCCCTGGCCACCGTGCCCCAAGCTTGGGCCTCCGCATCCTAGCCAGACGCTTCAGGCCTGTTCTCCCTCTTGCACTGAAGGGGAAGGGACAGGAGGGGGACACTAACTCTTGAGGCTGTGAACACAATCTAAGGCACAGTTCTGTTCCGCATAGCCTACAGGAGCTGAGTCACCAGAAAGGAGGGAATTGACCCGGAGCTTCTACCCTGAGCTGCGCCTGGGATGATGGAGAATGAACTAGCAGCACAAAGGGTGCTCCCAGCTGGAGTGAGAATGGGGCTGGAGAACACAGTAGGCCAGAGTGTCCTGTGCAGGGGAATCTGAGGGACAAAGAGCAGGGTAACAGGGACAGGCGGGGGCAGTGGACGTTTCTAGATAACATGGCGAGGCTGAGGCAGCCTCTAGGAGGTACCTGGGGTGGGGAGGGTGTCAGCACTCCTCTCTTTAAAGACATTGGGTTCCAAGGACCTTGTAGCATTTGTCCAAGGGCAGCCTGAGGGCCAGGAAAGTGCTTTCAGTGCCCACAAATCTTGAGGGCCAGTGTTTGGCCTAGTGGCTAAAACATCTGCATCCCATATCTGAGTGCCTGGGTTCAAGTCCGGGTCTGCTCCGGATTCCAGTTTCCTGATACTGTTCACCCTAGGAGGCAGTAGTGATGGCTGAAGTGATTGGGTCCTTGCCACTCAACATGGAAGGAGACCTGGATTGGATTCCTGGTGTCTGCCAACAGGCAGGGCATTTGAGGAGTGAACCAGTGGATGAGAGCAAGGGCTGTCTCAAGAAATTAAAAATTTGTACGAAATACGTCAAGAGGACACGAGTAGGGACTGGCTCTGTGGCATAGCGGCAGTGCCGGCATGCCATATGGGTGGAAGAAGCTCCTGGCTACTGGCTTCAGATCGGTGCAATTGTGCCATTGCAGCCAATTGGGGAGTGAACCAGCGGATGGAATACTCTCTCTCTCTTTCTCTTTCAAACAAATAATCTTTAAAAAAAAAAAGAGAGAGAGAGAGAGAGAGAGAGAGAGAGGACATGAGTAGGGTGGTGGGAGATGGAATTGGGCTGTGGTCGTCACTGATGTTACAGAATCATGTCTTTGAAGGAGCAGTTCTGAGCCACACAGGAAAACAGTAGGGACTACTGTATTAGATGACAAATGTGACATGTTTGTGGAGGCCACCTGCAGTGCCAGCATCCCACATGGGTGCCAATTCAAGTCCTGGCTGCTCCACTTCCGATCCAGCTCTTTGCTGTGGCCTGGGAAAGCAGTGGAGGATGGCCCAAGCGCTCGGGCCCCTGCACCTGTGTGGGAGACCCGGAAGAAGCTCCTGGCTCCTGGCTTGAGATCGGAGCAGCTCCAGCCCTTGTGGCCATCTGGGGAATGAATCAGCGGATGGAAGACCTCTGTCTTTCTCTCTCTCTGCCTCTCTGTAACTCTGCCTTTCAAATAAATAAATAAACCTTTAAAAAAAGAAAACAAGAAATGTTTGTGAAGGTCCTTGAGTTGGTTGCTTTTGAACATCCCAGTTACCCAGCTGCCTCCAGAGCACACCACAGGAGGGGACTGCTGGCTGTGGCGCCTACATGGTTCAGGCACTTTGCAGGTTTCATTTAATCCTCACAGCAGCCCCAACAGGTCCATCTCACAATTTCCGTTTTATAGGAAATCCAGGCTCAGAGAGGTTAATACACCCAGATCACACAGCAAATAAACAAACCATCTACTCAAAAGTGGTGACAACCATATACCACTTTATAATGCAAAACTAATGTATGACCACTTACAATGTGTGGTGGGTGTTTTGGCATAGCAGATTAAGCCACCACTTGGAATGCCCACATCCCATACTCAAACTCCTAGGGTTCGAGTCCTGGCCCATTTCTGATCCAGCATCCTGCCAGCACTCACTCTGGGAGGCTGCAGATGATGGCCCAGGTAATTGAGCCCCTGCCACCAACGTGGGAGAGCAGATGCGGTTCTGGCTCCTGGTTTCACCCTGGCCCAGGCCTGGCTGTTGCAGCCATTTGGAGAGTGAACCAGCCAATAGAAGATGTTCTCTCTCTCTCACTCTGCCTTTCAAAAATAAATGCAAGTGAGTAAATGTTTAAATAAAAATTCTTTAAAATTTACATATGATTCACATATATTTCATCATCTCATTCCCACAACCATCTTTTTTTTTTTTTTTTAAGATTTATTTATTTACTTGAAAGGCAGAGTGACAGAGAGGCAGAGAGAGAGAGGTCCTCCATCCACTGATACACTCCCTAGATGGCTATAATGGCTGGAGCTGGGTCAATCTGAAGCCAGGAGCTAGGAATTTCTTTAGGGTCTCCCATGTAGGTGCAGGGGCCCAAGATCTTGGGACATCTTCTGCTGTTTTTCCAGGCCATTTTGGAGAGCTGGATGGGAAGTGAAGCAGCCAGGACTCGAACTGGTGCCCATATGGGATATCAGCAGTGCAGGCGTCAGCTTTACCTGCTACGCCACAGTGTTGGTCATAGGTCTTAATTTAAGTATTTATTTATTTGAGAGGCAGAGAGAGGAGGAAAGCCAAAGAGAACCCCCATCTGCTGATTCACTCCCCAAATTCCTCTAATGATGGGATCTGAGCTGAGCTGGGTGGAAGCCAGGAACATAATCCACGTGTACCATGTGGATGACAGAGACCCAAGTACTTGAGCCATCACTACTGCCTCCCAGGGTTTGCATTAGCAGGAAGCAGGAG